CTAGTTAGATAACAGTCATTTGTTCTAATAGCAACAGGAGCATTAAAACATGTCTGGAATTGCATCTCTCCTTTTTTTTTTTTTTTTTTTTTTTTGGTGAAAGAAACCTATGTAGTTATCTCTTCAAATGAATACTTCCTAGGAAGTTTCTGCTCGGACAGTGGTGGGAAGCAAAATCTGAATATCAGCTTAAGTCATTAAAATGAATTTGCTTTAAAACATATAACCAGCGTTAGGCAAACTGAGTGTTCAGTACAGCCAAAACTGGCATTAGCCAAACTTATTCCAAAAACTATTTAGAGCAGAATTTTCAAGGTATATTCTCAGAAGGGTTTAAGCCAACAGTACAGCAACAAGTTAAAAAAATGCCACCAAGAAATGTATTTAACTAAAAAATATATGAATTCTCTTTTAGGGACCCATTTGGCTGGAGAGCTGTGCTAGGTGCACATAACCTTCATAAATATGACAAACATACAACAAAAAGATGTATTAGAAACATCACTACCCATCCAGAATTCAAGAAAGAAACATTTGAAAATGATATTGCATTATTTCAACTTGATTCCTCTGTCCGCTACACTGACTATATTCAGCCTATTTGCTTACCTTCTGCAGACCTTTACTTCTCTATTGACAACGAAACCATCTGCTTTATAAGCGGTTGGGGACATTTAAGTGAAAAAGGTAAAAGTTCTTGCTTGCCTGACCAAATTATGAGCTAAATGACCGATTGCAGGTTTCAGCCCCTGAGGCTCACTGACACTACTGAATCAGTTGGGGTTTCAGTCTCCTCGAAAACATCATTCCATCTTCCTGCAACTGAAAATCTGCTCTCCATAATTTTTCCATTGAGAGCTGATTAGGCCTACAAAGAAGTGACCCAAGGCTTTGGGTCTGACTTTTAGCCTTTCTTCTAGGGATAAGTTGGGGGGGAAAAAAAAAAAAGCAAAAAAAAAAAAAAGCTNTTTTTTTTTTTTTTTTTAACTGAAAAACAAAAATCCTGCTGCAATGCCTCGTGAATATAGGACTCCCAGCGTGTTTGGGGAATTGCTGCTCCCCCTCGAATCCTGTCTGTAGTTGCAGTGCTCGCAGCCTCGATGGTGTGCAATGGTGCCTATCCTCGGGGCGTGGAGATTGATAAGGCAGCCAGGGACTGTCCGAGCTTGTTGGAGAAGACACCTCTGACATCTGGGGCACAACTGGTGACTAATGTCGTTATCTTTAATGCTTCTGCAGAGCAAGACAAGCAAAAACTACAGCAGTCCCAAATCTGCAAATATGTACCTGACTTCAGCTTAAATCCACTAGAAGCAGGCACAAGCTCTGCATTAAGAACATGTCTGAGCCTGTTCAGAAGTATGCTTAAATCGCCAGCACAGGAAGAGAACTCAGTAAGAACTGCTACACGCTGCAGCGCAATTATTTTATACTGTTTTCCTTTACAGGAAAAGCCTCAGATGTATTACAGGAAGCACAAGTGGAAATCATTCCTTTTGATTCCTGTAATGCTTTTGATTCCTATGGAGGAATGATTAATAGGAACATGATTTGTGCTGGCTCTGAAGCTGGAGGCATCGACAGCTGTCAGGTAAGAGTGAACGTTAAATAAAAAGATGGTGATTCCAAAGAAAAATCATATCTCAAAAACACACAAAAAAAGTCAGTGATACTTGGCAGGAGGCAGTAAGAAAGTTAACAGCTCACGTTACCATATTTATACAAAGYTTCTCACAAAGGTTTCAGTAAAATACACATACAAGCACATACRTTTATATAAGCATACATATACATCACTGTACATGTGCACACAGTTTACATGGTTTTATGCTTTTGAAAGAGAACAGCAACATTGGAAAGTGATTTAGTTCAGTAGTGAGATGGTAAATTAAATGCTGAACAATCAGTTATCTCTCTCTGATCAGAAAGACCTTTCTCAGAAAAAAGAAATTCTGAAGCCAAAAGTACTAGTATACAAACCTGGGGCAGACTGGTGGTATGGAAGCATTTAATGCACAAGATATTTATAATTAAAAAATACAGTGTATTCCTAAATACTTAGTCTGATAGACTTCCTGCTTCCCTCAGCTTGCTTCCTCTAACAGAGTGTCTTGGCAAACATTCAAGATACCACGTTCCTTGGTACTTAAAGTAACATACTGTGGRGACAGTGTAATCTGAATTCCCATGTTAACTGATGACTAAGAAAGTTTAGGGAAACAAATCTCAGAATGAAAAGCTATAAATGGAAAAAAAAAAGTCATTTTCGGTTAAAGGCACTGAAGCAACCACATCGACAAGGTCAAGGTAGTATCACCCAGGGAAAAGTATTTTGATTTGTCCATTTTACCGTTTTACATCGAGTCTTACAGTTGATCAAGAAAACGGGGTTACGTTACCGACCTAACCCTGCATTGATTCTTGGAAGGGAAAATGTTGCTACTGTTTTCCAGGGAGACAGCGGTGGCCCTTTAATGTGCTATCACCCTAATACCAGCAAATACTACCTAATAGGAATTACCAGTTTTGGAATTGGCTGTGGGAGACCAAGATTTCCTGGGATCTACGTCCGTTTATCTTCATACAGAAGCTGGGTAACGGCGGAACTCGTGTTGAGTAACAAGGCGGGGAAGGCCAGGGGCACTGCGCTTGTGATCTGCCTG